GCTCAGTGAGGCAGACAGCCTTGCGTCTCCCTGTTATAGGTGGGATCCTTTCATGGAGCAGGAAAACGCTGTCTGTCAACCCAGGTGATGTCACTCGAGCTTAGCTAGCCACTCAGGGTGGATTGTGACAACCCTTTTGACATCAGCAGTGCAATCCTTAGACCAGTTACTGCCCAGAGAAATGCAGTTCTCTGATTGGAGAGAATTTTATCAGGGAGTCTATTTCCCCCCCCAAAAGAGACGTATACTGAGCTGATAAAACTCACAGACCACTGTCTTCTCATTTCCGGGATCCCTGCATTCAGTTGCAGGTGCTGTTCCCTCCACCTGGAAACGCTTAAAACCTTGTTCATGTGACAAACCCCTACCTTTCTTTCTTGACCCGAGCCCTCCGGCACACACTCACCCACACCCGCCCCAGAGAGAGCTGGGCCACCTTAGTGTTTTGTATTTGCCTCTGTTGTTTCACTCACTCACTTTTTCATTTGTTCTTTTAGCAAATCCTTATCCTTTAGCATTGCACCCACCTCTTCTAGGACTGTGAGTCTTGTGAAAGGAGGAATGATGTCCCAATCATCTTAGGATTTCCAGCCTCTACAGGGGTTCTTGGCCCACTGTCAGGGCCTGAAACTACTGACTACATCCTTGGATGGTGGGGTGACATGCAGGATGTGGCTATTCCCTGACTGCACAGAGAACCTTGGGTGCTGGGTGTGGAGGGAGGAACTGCATGCTGGTGTCTCTAATTTTTCACCTTCCATGCAAATCCCAGGCTGTGTGGAAGACACTGTGCATTCTGTGCAACAGCCAATGGCAGAATTTGACCTGTGAAACATGCCTGGTTCGCCCTGATATAGTACTCATGGAAAGTGTTTATTTCTCATATATTGTATCTGAGGATCTTAAGCAGTCATAGGGTCCAACTTGCATTTCCTAGGGTTAAAACTTTCTTGGTGATGCTAACATATCTCCAGGAACACAGGACTCATTGTAAGGCAGCCTGCTGGTTATTAGGGGCCACATGTTAATTTCCTGGCTACTTTGGCCATTAATCTTGTTTCTCTTCTCTAGGACCACAAGGAAAGAGGTTGTTCCTTTTTCTACTTCGCATTCACTCATTCTTTCATAACAGCAGTGTTAGTCACTCAGTCGTGTCCGACTCTTTGCAACCCCGTTGACTGTATTTGCTAGGCTCCTCTGTCCACTGAATTCTCCAGGCAAGAACACTGGAGTGGGTTGCCTTGCCCTCCTCCAGAGGATCTTCCCAACCCAAGCCAGGTCTTCCTCATTGTGGGATTCTTTACCACTGCGCCACCTGGGAAGCCGTCCTTCTTTTGTGTGTATGTGCATTCATTAGCTTCATCATTCATTTAAAAATACTGAAAAGGACCTGAGCAGGTCCCCTGTTCTCATTGAGCTGACATCTTTAGAGGGGAGAGACAGACAATAAACAACTAAATATATAAACTGGAGAAATACAGTTGTCATAAGAGCTGTGAAGAAAATAGGGCAATAAGAGGGTTGAGGAAAATTTCAATAGAGCTAACAGGACAGGTGTCCTTCAGTAAATGAATTTAAGCCAATAAGTGACAAGAATGAGGCAGCCACACACCATTTGGGAAAAGAGCCTCCAAGAAAAGAAATTAAAGGGAGGAGCAGTTGTCAGTGTGGTTTTGGTGGAGGTGCTGCTGCTGCTAAATCACTTCAGTCGTGTCCAGCTCTTTATGACCCCATGGACTGTGCCCTCTGGGCTACTCTGTCCATGGGAATCTCCAGGCAAGAATACTGGAGTGGGTTGCCATGCCCTCCTCCATGGGATCTTCCTGACCCAGGGATTGAACCCACAACTCTTACATCTCCTGCATTGGCAGGCAGGTTCTTTACCACTAGTGCCACCTGGGAAGCCCTTGGTGGAGGTGAGGGAGGGAGAAAGTAGAAATGATAATGGAGAGGCTGGCAGGGGATTTGTAGCCATGGTAAGGAGGTGAGGATTTGTTATCAGAAAGACGGAAGCCTTCTGAGGGTTTTGAGCATGGAGCTGATGTGTAATTTTAAAAGAGCACTTGAAATATGGAAGCTTGAGGTAAGTTCTCAAATCCTGGAAGACAAAGTGGAGGTTGCCACTACTTTATTTCAAAGGGTAAGAGAGATCTGGTTTAGAGGTGAGTTCTAGGTGCTCTAGAGAGAGAGCACTGTAATATCCGGGACTAGAGTTGGAGCATCCCGAGACAAGCCATTGGATTCTGGCCAGCGCAAGACTTTTGCTTCCTCCCAGAGCAGAGTGGAGTTCCCCGAGTGAGGCACCGAGTCTGCGGGCACTGTTGTCTGAGAGGGAGACCACACTGCTGGGAAGAGGGCGCGTCGCGCTGTCAGAACTGGGGCCCCAGAGGACCCTCGGAGCTTCAAAGCAGAGAGCAAAATCAAAAGGGAAAGACTCAGGGGGAATGGAAAATGTGCTCACATGTTTTGTTAAGATTCACAGTCATAAATAAAAAGACAACCAACTAGTAAAAACATTACCACACATGACAGATAAAGGCACCATCCTAGCTCAGAGCTCATGTCAATGAGGAAACAGGGAGACCCCATTTTTTTTTTTAATGAGGAAAGATGTGAGCAGACTTCTATAGTAAAGAAAGTACATATGGTTATTAAAAGTATTCCGTCTTACTAAAATCGTAAAAATGCAAACTGAAACAGCAATGGGGTGCAGGGTATCTTTAGAGGGAAATGGTTTATCAAATTGAAAAATGCATTTTGTAAAACTGCTGTACTGATGAGACTGCAGTGAGACAGACAGTGTCATGTGCCCTGGTGATGTGCACATTTTAAAAGGGAGAGTTTTCTGAGTACCTTTAAAACGTTCATACCCTTTAACCCAACAATTGCACTTCTTAGACTCTATCTTGAAGAAATGATTTTAAATGAGGTTAATTTGTGTGCAAAGATGGGCATGTGTGAAATATTGGAAAGAGGCCACTTGATAATAATAGATGATTGGTTGGCTTAATATAGTATATCCATTCAGTGCACTATTAGGAAGCCATTAGAAATTATATTTCTGAAGCTATTTTGATAGGGAAAATACACCATAATATGTGGAAAACAGCAAAATCATAATTAATAGAAAACAAAATCAATTATTAATATGAATGCATATTATATACATAAAATAGATTATTGAGTCATAATATACACATAAGAAAACACAAATAATATGTGCTTATTATTCTAAAGGTTATTAGAATTTTCTGTGTTGAGAATTGCAGATAATTTTGTTTTTTCCTGTTTTCCAAGGGTGGTTTGGGCTTTTTTTGTTTTTTTTTTATTTGCACAATGAGCATATATTATTTTTAAAATCAGATAAAAGTAAAAAGTGCTTATAAGTCAGTGCTACCTTTGGTCATCGGATCCCTGTTAGAGACAGACACACCCCTTCACCCCTCCTTCCATGTCTGTTGCTGTGAGACACTGCAGGGTGCAGGGCAAAGGGCAGGGAGGCAGGAGGAGAGAAGGGATGCGGAACGTCCTCCACCTGGGCCGTGGTGTTGCTGGGTGACCTGGGACGTGTCACTGCCTGGCTATAGGGCTCAGTTTCCCCGTCTGTAATATGCCTGGTGGGACTCGTTCATCTCTGAGAGTGCAGCAGGGATGTGGGCATAACAGCTCCAAGGTTCTAGCCAACCCCAACCCTAACCACAGTGACATCACTGACTGCTTCCATGAGCACATGCCACCCACACTCAGATGTCACCATCCACATGGCCACCTTCAGGATCAATTACAGCTTAGCCAGGGACTCCCTTGCCCTTTTCTTTGGGAATGGGATGTGATGTTTATGTACATCATTCATTCCTTCAACATGTTCTTGTAACGACCCTGATCCTGGGGACAGTCACCATAAGGCCCGAGCTCAGAGCAATTCAAAAAGTGTCTTCCCTGGGGGGCAAGTCTTTGCCCTTTGAGAGTTATTTTAATTTATATTTGAATTATTTTAAAGAACTACAGTTTATTTGAAGCTAAGTGTCTGTGTCTGGATGAGTCAGATGGATCACACCATTTTAAGTGTAAACCACCTACCTACTGTGAGTCTTGATTTTCTCTGGACTTAGAAGTGAGGAGTCCAGAAACAGGTGGATCCTTGGCAGTGTGAATGAAACACTGTGTGAATCTACCTGGAGCCATGTGATGGAGGGTAGAGCATGCGGACTTGGAGTCAGATGACCTATGTTCAAACGTGGCTCTCCTGCTTCCCAGCTTTGTGATTTGGGGAAGTTCACAACATCTCTGACTTGCAGTGTGTTCCCATCTGTAAATTGGAGAAATAGTCCTGACCTTACCCCGGTCTGCTTGTGAGCTTCAGTCAGGATCTTATCTCCAGAGGGACCTGGCAGAGCCTGGCATGTTCTCAAGCCATGGCATCACTACTCTTGATGCTTTCCAGAGGTTGCCGCTTGAAAGGGACAAGCATTGGAGACGCTCTAGAGGGGAACTGCGCGGCACCATCATTGTGATCCGGGGCCCTGAGGCTGTTCAGCCCTGGCCCTGCCGCTTACCTGCAGGGTGTCTTTGTGAGCAAGTGACCTGGTCTTCCTGAGCCTCCTGGTGCTCGTCTGTGAGACGGAATTGACAGCAGCAGCACCCACATCCCAGGACAATCGTGAGGACTCAGTGACTTGTGTATCTGCCACAGTGCCTAGTAAAACCACAGTATGTTCACTGAATTGTTTGATGTTTTTTTTTTCCATTTTCAAATTAAATACTTGTTCAATATAAAAAATTTAGAAAGCAGCCTTAAAAAGAAATAAAGTGTGAATTGTTTTCAGTCCTTTTACTTTGCAGTTGCTGCGTGTTTGCATCTGGTCTTCCTCATCCCCACTCCCCAACCCTGTCCCCATTCTGAACTGAGGTGCTGTCCCCAGCAGGCTTTGGCTTGGTGTCCTGATTGTCCCCTCAGCCCATCAAGTATGTAACACTGCTGTTGGTCCCTCTCTCGGCAGATCCTTCAAGCCGGACTTCATTCTTGTCCGCCAGCACGCCTACAGCATGGCCTTGGGCGAAGACTACCGCAGCCTGGTCATCGGCCTCCAGTATGGAGGGCTGCCTGCCGTCAACTCCCTCTATTCTGTCTACAACTTCTGCAGCAAGCCCTGGGTGGTAGGTGCGGGGCCAGCCTGACTCAGAAGGAAGGGGGAAGCAGGGACTGGCCTCCTGGCCCTGAAATGGACCCATTCGCCAGCAGGGAGGCTCAGTAATAAGGGAGTCTTTTATTCAAAGCAACTGAAGAAACAACTTGGCTCCCAAACCCCTTCTTGTAGTTACTACCTAACAGATATTTTGTAGCATGTTATGGTACAGTGTTGCATTATAATAATGTCAGTGGTGAGAGGGGTACCCTACTGCTCTCACTCTTTGAGCATGGTGACAAGGTTTCTGCAGAGCTGGCACTCAGGATTTATTGAATGCACATATGCATTCATTTAGTGGATATGGGTAGTCTTTAACCATTGTTACTATGGCCTTGGTCTCCTCCTCACTCTTCCCTGACTAAGCTTTTAGGCCTGCAACAACCTAGAAAAAGTCCTCAGTGGTGTTAGTTCACCATCCTTGTTTTCCCACATAGTCTTGGTGATGGTAGCAAGCACAATTCATTAGTACTAAGTGCACTGTGTTGAGCCTTTCACATGCATATTATATTTAATCTTCACCCTGATGAGTAGGTATTTCTAATGTCTCCATTGGACAGAAGAGGAAACTGAGACTTAGGTTGCTAGTAGTAAGTAGTGAAGCCGGACATTCTCCAAAACTCTTAGTTGATTATGGAATTGCTCTCCTTCTCTGGACTTCAGTTTCCTTATCTGTAGAATGAGGGACCCTCCCATCATTTCTCATATTTCTGAGGTCCCTCAAGCCTACTAACCTGACAGTATGTTGCACCACAGCAGCGGGCTACAGCCCAAGAGTCTTCCAATCCTGGCATGATGCAGAGAGTTCCTAAGTTATCTGTTCTTTGCTTGTGAGCTCTCAGTATTGAGTTTACCCCAAAGTCAGTTAGGCACAAGACTTAGCTCCTCTTCCAGCCACTAGGCATCCACATTAGGCCTTACACGGCACCTGATTTCTTCTTTCTGATCAGAGTCTACCTTGCTCTTTGCTTTTGTTCACCGACAGCTCCCTTTGCCTGATGGGTGAATTCCCAGCTCATTGTCCACTGAGCATCTCTAGCACACAGCTGTCTCACTGCACACTGGAATGCCCTTCCTCCTTCTCTTATATCATCTGCTCCTGAAGTCATCCTCACCCCCTGTCTGTTCCTCTTCCAGGTCCCACAAGCCCCTCACTTCCCTCCAGCAAGATGTTGTTATCTCAGCCATCTGCCCACAGGCTGTCTTTCCTCCAGACCTGGTCTCACATGTTCAGTGTGTTGCCCCGAACAACACATGGGTGTTTATATGCTATATATGTATAGCTGTGTGTGCCGGCGAGCACAGTGCTGGGCACAGAATGAGCTCCCAGGGCTGCTGAGTAAGGTGGATGATGGAGGAGACTGGAGAGGATGAATGTCCAGTCAAGGACTCTGGCCTTTATCCTGGGGTCAGGGAGCAGCTACTGGAGCAGATAGGTGCTTGAGGCCTGGGATCAAGTGGGATGTTTCGCCATACCAGGAAACAGTGGTTGACCAATGTTCTGTCATATTCTGTCCTAGTTCTCTCAGCTCATTAAGATCTTCCATTCACTGGGTCCTGAGAAGTTCCCGCTTGTGGAGCAAACATTTTTCCCCAATCACAAGCCAATGGTGAGTACCTTTTTTCGCTCTGATTATTTTTGTGGAATGGAATAAATACAGATGTCCATATACTCAGTCCATTTGAATGGAGGAGGTCAGCATGCGGGCTGCTTCCTGACCACTGAAGCGCTAAGGAAGAGCTGTGACATCCTGTGGGAACACCTGGCTCTCCAGGGGAGGAGTCAGGTCTCCAGGTGAAATTTCAGGTGGTAGAGTAAATGACAAAGACACACAGCATTCCGTGGGACATGGAATTTTCAGCAAATCAGGGGACAACTTGAGCTGGCAATTGGAAACAAAGGTTGATAGTAAAGGTGAAAGATGTTTCTAAGGTAGAATGTTATTTCATGTGAACCCTGTGCAGGACTTGGTTTCAACTCTTATTTTAATAAAAGCAGTGATATTTTGTTTCCATTAATCATCAAAGGGCAGTTTCCTTGTGCATCCTCTTTGCCCTCAAACTTTTGAATATACCCAAGGTTGTCGCTGGGAAGTGGTTGGAGTTTAGCTTCAAATATGTGGGATAGCCTCCCGTTTGGAGGGTGGGAAAAGTGAATGTCTTTTTGAGTATGAGGTGGGGAGCTCTCCATCCTGCGGCCGGAAGAAGTTGGCTGGAAGAGTTCTGGGCTGCTGGAAAGAGCTCGTGACATGCCTGCTCTCATGGTCAGTGGTCTTGTTAAACTGGTTAAAGGAATGCAGGGCCATGGCCCCGTGCATACCTTGCAAAGAACACGAGTCTTGAGGCACAAGATGGTTAACAGGGTTCCAACAGTCTGCTTTTAGTCCCAAGCTTAGGCAACTGAGCTTCCAAGTCCTATTTGGAGACACTGATAGGTGTCTCCAGGTGGGGGGACAGTCTAAGCAGGCAAAAATGTTTCTCATTGACTATCTTTCCCTTGTATCTGATCTAGTGAGGTGTCCTACCAGCCAGGGTGTGCTGGTTGGAACAAGAAGGGGGCATGTGGAACCTGGCATATTCCAACAAAGTGAGAAACGGTGAAGAAAATTCAGGATTTATCCTCAAACCAGCCTGAGTTTGAATCCCAGTTCTGTCTGCTTACTAGGCTTTGGATCTCTGTGAGCCTCAGCTTCCTTGGCTGAAAACCATGGATGACAGTGGAACCACTTCACTGAGTTGTTGAGATTTAACACGATCATGTATACAGGGTACTGTGCTTGGCGTCCAATGCTGCTGCTGCTGCTAAGTCGCTTCAGTCGTGTCTGACTCTGTGCGACCCCACAGACGGCAGCCCACTAGGCCCCCCCGTCCCTGGGATTCTCCAGGCAAGAACACTGGAGTGGTTGCCATTTCCTTCTCCAATGCGTGAAAGTGAAAAGTGAAAGTGAAGTCGCCCAGTCGTGTCCGACTCTCAGCGACCCCATGGACTGCAGCCCACCAGGCTTCTTCATCCATGGGATTTTCCAGGCAAGAGTCCTGGAGTGGGGTGCCATTTCCTTCTCAGTGGTGTACAATAGGTTCTCAAAATAGAGTAGTTTTAAAATTGGGGCGAAGCCATACCTTGAAACATTGTCAACAGTGGGATAATATTTGCGTGAGGGGTTTACCGCCAGCCCAGCCCATTGAGGGTGACAGGCCCAGCTGTAAGTTCTGAGTGGGGCCAGGGTGGGGGAGGGGTGTTGCACGGCTGTAGTGAGTTCCTGGCATTCCCAACTAGGCCAAGTCATACTTGAAATTCCAGGCAGGCATTTGGCATCGAGGACTGCTGTTTGAGCCTCCCCCTCCCACTTCCACTAGGTTGAGATTCTAAGAAAGAAAATAGGGAAGGCTAAGTCAGGGCTTCAGTCTGGGAATACCCGAACCACTAACAGGTTAATTAGATGTTGATCCAGATTCCGTAGAACTGGGGTGAACCTTGGTCATAGAATCAGGGAAGAAGGTCAGAGCTGCACTAGCTGCCACAGGAAGTCTAGGATGCCTCTCCTGAAAATGCTCCCGCCTGGGGAAAGGGCTGGGGTAGGGTGGGTCCATGCTGTGGAATTGAATGGAGGGAAGCGACTACGCACAGGCCAGGGGCCAAAGCAGGCAGGACCTGACTTCTGAGACCCTCTGTGGTCGTCATAACCCCCAGCGGCGGTCAGGACACAAAGAAGCAAGAGACTGCAGGTATGTGATAGAAATAAAACCACTTTACTGTTTAGAATAAAGGACACACTATAAAAAGTGAACATTATGCAACATTACAAGACAATATACATTCACGGAATATAAAATTCATAAATAACATGGAGGAAAACTGTAAACAGTGCTACAAAATTTAGCAACAAATACATTCCTTCCAGACAGGGTTTTCTCTAGTTGGTTTCTCTCCATCACTTCTGGGTCTCAGGACAGCAGACCAGCTACGGAGGAAGGAGGTTGGTGCCTGGGAGAATTCATGAAGCCCCTCCCCTCGTGCCTCCCAGGAGCCGGTTTGGAAGCTGTTGATAATCCATTTCCCCAACACTCGCCCATTGTGTTTTGTTTTTGCTGTCAGGATTTATAAAGTGTTTTTCTTGTGTGAAACTCTTTTAGTGATATTTTTACTTTCACAGCCAGGAGCCAAACAATGGGTGTCATTTTTGGTTAATCCATGTTGCTGGTCAGCTAGCACATGATGAAGGCCAGAGGCAGGGCAGGGTGTTGTCTCCTGGGGACCACGGTTTCTCTGAGACAGCTGTTCCAATAAGTCAGTTTTTTTCAATTGCTCAGGAACCACAGTATGAAAAACGGTGCTCATGGGCTGTAGCCTAATTGCCATTATGTGTCTGGGGCTGTGCAAGGGTAAAAAAGCACAGGAGTCTCCCAGTGCTGGCCAGATGGAGCACTGGCCTGAGAAGTGAGAGCCTAGATGTGGTGCCTCCTGCATAGGGAGGCAGAAGAGAGGGCCAGAGGAGGCCAAGGCATCTCAGAATCACAGGTCCCGTGGCCCTGGATGTTTAGGTGAAACCATGGCTTCTCAATGGGGTGGACGGATGGACTAGAGGGGAAAAGGAATGGGAATAACCAGCAGAGTGCCCAGGGCCAGTTGATATAGAGCAAGGATGTGAATGTACTTGCTGTTTTTTTCTCTCCTTCGTAGTCCAGAAAGCACTAGGATGCCAACAGGGAGGAAGGAGTCTAGAGGACTCTGCAGTGCTCATTCCTTCTAGTTCCCCCATTTACCAGTCTAGCTGCCTGCACAGTAGAAGTCTTTACCCTCCATTCCACTGTAGAATTTGATTCAGAAAAATGGTGGCATGTGGGTTTTGTTTTTTTCTTTTCTCTTAAACACAGTGTACACATATTACAGCCTACACATGACATAAGATTTAGCAAAATAAAACGTTCATGAAATGAATGAAATACGGAAGTGTCTCAGCTACATAAATGACTTTAAATTATACAGTAAGTGAACAGGTGAAATAAACAAAGCTATAGCTTATAGAAAGCTCAAAAACCGCCCTCTGACATCACTCTGCAAAGGACCCTTCTTTGCTCAGGACCTGCTGTTCTCCTCACCAGGGCCTGGCAGATGGGACTGTGGTTCCACCAACTTTGCAGAGGGAAACTTCAGGTGATTTGTCCTCAGGCCTCACCTCAAGTCCCTCTTTGTGTGAGTGGAGGTGACCCCACCAGGAACCAAGAATAGCCAGATGCCTCATGGAAGTCACACTGATGTCCAGTGGGAGGGCACCTGTGTAGATTGGGTTAGGGGTTCCACCTTGTAGAACTTTGAGGTTCAAATTAAGAAAATCTTTAAACACCAAGTCTGGGGCTTACCCCTTAAAAACCACTGGCCTGCTGAATTCAGCTCCTTCTGCTTACTCTGCCCCACTGAGAGAGCAAAGCTTGCTGTTTCCTGCATGCCAAATGTCACAACCACAAGGTGAAAGGTACTAGGTAATGAGACCAGTCTGGAGGAAACCAGATGCCTTGACTGCCTTCTCGCTCTGAGGTTCTGCCAAACACCTTGCCTGGGCATTTGTGTTTGTGAGCGAGACATTACATTGTGTTGTCTGCTTCTTTTTTTTTCCCCGTTTAAATTGGCAGCTCTGTTTCCTAAAGTGGAATGAACTGAAGATACAAATACTAATAGAGGACAAATACCCATAATCTGAAAAAAGAGACAGAGCCATCATGTTAAATGTAACCATCCTAGCATCCTCAGTTCTGTAAAATATACTTTATCACCTACTCTTGGCATCTCACTTTCAACACTAAAACTTAAAATAATTTTATTTAATCAGAGAATTTATATTATAGTTTTATTTCAAAAAAACACAACAAAAACCCTACAGCTGTTTGCAGAGTCAGGTTTTCCCAGTGACCACCACTTTTAATTCTATGAGGTGAGGGCCTTAGGAGGTGGCATTCACCCGCTAGTAAGCTACAGGAAAAGGAGCAAGTTGTCCCCAAACCCAGGAAAGGTGGCCATCTAGCCAAGGCAGGACACTGCAGCTTTCCTTCCTGTGCCCAGGCCCTGACCCACACTAACTCGCATCTCCCATCTGAGCCACGCCAGTAAAGGCAGTTAAATGAAGGCCCCAAACATGAAGCAGGAGAAAAGGAGGACAGAGGTCAGATGACCCCAATTAGAGGGATGCTGAGGGTGCTCAGAATTTCAAATTTTAATTAAAATGAAAAAAAATAAAAGATCAACTTGGAATGTCATGATTTTCTTCAAACAAGCAACAACAACAAAATAGAAGAGATTAAGCTATTGGCATATTTAACAGCATTGAACAGAATTCTGTGTCCTGTAAAAAAAAAAATTAGCTTATGTCCCCACGTGGGTATATGTAAATGTGTATGCAAACACACCCCCCTAGGTGAACTAAAATGCTACTTTGGAAATAATATCCTCTACCCAAATCTACTTGTTCTATATCTGTGGATAGTGTATGGTGTTCATATTTCTCCAATTTACATAAAGGCAAGCTCCTGGCCAGATCTACCGAAGACGTTTCCAGGAGGAAATCTTGTGGGAAGTAAGGAGAGGAAAGACATTCATCTTAGTCTCTCACCTGAG